GGAGCCCGATGCGGGACTCGATCCCGGGACTCCAGGATCATGACCTGAGCCGAAGGCAGTCGCTTAACCAACTGAGCCACCCAGGCGCCCATGTCTCATTCCAGTTTAATTTTTCAGTATATTCAGCAATTTAGAACACAAATGGCAGAATACTAGACACACTGCAGGGGCCAAGGGCAGGCTGCCCCAAGATGGGCCACTTTAAATGAAGACTATTTTGAGCTAAAAGCCATTAAAACCCAGCAGATACAGGAAAAGCTCTTTACCTCCCCAACAGCTGCCTAAAAAAATTTAGATAGAGGACCTGCTCTGGGAAGAGAGTATCACCACAGATAACTACATTATGATATGAACTAGGTAGGTGGACAGGGAGGAACCTAGCAAGGCCTGTTTGATCAAAGCTGTCCCACTGTTTTGTTTTGTTTTGTTTTTTAAGATTTTATTTATTTATTCATAAGAGAGAGAAAGAAAGAGAGGGAGAGAAGCAGAGGGAGAAGTGTTTTCTTTGGAAAATACTTCCCTCTATTTCTACTCTGCACTTCAACTTTCAAGATCTAGTTTAAATGCCACTTCCTAAGGCCTCATCATGCAAAAAAAAAAAAAAAATACCCTTCTCTTCTGTGTTTACATAGCATTTTGTTTCTAGAAATAGTAAACTTTAAGCAGGGAGCCTGATGTGGGACTCAATCCCAGGACCCTGGGATCATGACCTGAGCCAAAGGCGACGCTTAACCATCTGAGCCACCCAGGCACCCCTATGTCCCACTGTTTTTGAGTGGTCCCACAAACATTCATTCACCAAACATTTACTCTTTTTCATTTTCCTGTGAATTTCATTCATTCCCTTGAAGTCCCAGATCCTACCCCCTTCTCCTTTGTTCAAAATGACCTACTGACTATCTGGACTTTCCATCTCTGTATGGATTCCCTGTTGGTACACAATTAAATTTGATTTTCTCCTGTTAATCTGCCTCATGTCAAATTTGAGTCTTAGTCCGGGTAGAAGGACCTTGAAGGGCAAAAGAAATTCTTTCTCCCCAACACAACCAGTAAGTTCCTAGACTGCAAAGTTTCGCTAATTTAGTAGAACATAAATTCACAAAGCATCTTGCTTTTACGTTCTGAGTCACTGCTTAATGCCTTATCAAATTGTTTGCTGATAATAATAGTTGACATTTACTGAGCACTTACTCTGCTAGACATGCATAACTCACCTAGGCTGTGCAAACTGTTAACAGGAGGAGCCAAGATTGGAGCTTGGGGTTATCTTAACTGCAATGTCCATGCTTTTGCCATTTTAGCACCTGGCAAAAGTGAAGAAACTAGGATGTTTCTAAGGGTTTTGAGAGTGATGACAGAATAGAATTAAGCACTGGTGTAAGTATCATGCTATTGTCAGACAGGAAGAATTCTTGTTCCCTTCAAGGTCCTTCTAGTCGGACTAAGAATGAAATTGACATGAGACAGACTAACAGAGGAGAAAATCAAATTTAATTTCATATGTTCCAGGAATCCACACAGATAAGGATATTCCAAGAACAGTCAGGCAAAATGAGATATATATGTCATCCTGAACTAAGAAGAAGGGGGTAGAGTCTGAGACGTCACAGGTAGGAATGCAATTCACAGAGCAATAAGAAGAAGAGCAAATATTTGGTCATTAGATGTTTGCCCTGCCATATGGATGGGTCACTCTGATTAAATTTATCTCTGGTAGTAACTCTTATTCCAAGAAAGACCCCCAATTTAGATTCTTCTATGTGGTTAAGAGAGGGGCAAAAGTTTGTCTTGAGCCCACTGGATCTAGATTATCTTCAGTGCAAAATAATCTTCATGCCAAAGTAGCCCATGTTGGAGCAGCTTGCTCTTGGACCCTACATTGTGTAAAGCAGTAAGTTGAACTTTGTACTGCTTGTCTCAAAGAATAAAGGTAGTTAAATAACCACAGTAATTTTCCTTTTGTGTCTCAAAGATCCAGGGTTTACATGTTATGCACAGACACCCTGGCTTAGTAGGACAATCACAGTGTAAAGTCTAGAGGAGAGTATGAGCCTCAATTTTGCCCTTCTTAGGTGACTTGCTTAATTTTGCTTCCATGAAATTGGGGTAATATCTGACCCTCACCTACCAACCATAAAGGAGC